GAAGCTCAAGGAGAGCTGATAAGGACCAGACTTTACAGAATGGAAATGGTGATATCGACATGTAGTGCCACTGTATATGTCTCTTACCATAGGTCTGAGGACCGTACTTGGGTAGGATCTCAAGCACAGCAAGGGAATGAGGATGCCTAGTGTAGGAGAGACGTTTTGGCAAAATCTCTTAGCATGGAAGAGATCACTGAGGAGGTCCTGAGGACCAAATTCTGAAAATTTCTTCCTTCACGCTGTTGTTATGACCTCCAAGACTGAAGAAGCTAGCAAAGTCAAAAGATCTGCAGAAGGAACAGTAGTGGAAAGCTAAGTAGCTGCTCCAGAGAGAAGATGCAGTCTTCAGGGTACTTCTCGAGACAAACAGTGCTTTAGCATTTGAACTGCAACAAGTGAAGATTTAACTTAGTGGTACAGAATGAAAAGTTATACACGTTCCAGGAGCTGTGGGCTCCAAGGTGCTCTTTCCAGGAAAATGCACAGTTGGATGAAACCGTTTGTCCAGAGGAAGTATGCTTCTACTCAAGAGGCTGAATTTTAGATGAACCAAAAGTTTGAGGCTTACCCAGCCAAGTGATTACTTCTATGTGCTGTTTATCCCTGGAGACAGTGGTGATATTGTTGGACGTGACCTTAAGCATGTCAAAAGACTACAGGAACCAGGGATGAAAGTCCTTTGTGTTCTGGATGCCTTCGTACATAATACATATACATTACAGAGCAGACCCTAAATGGAGTTACAAGGGTTCAGTACAGAGTATAGCACAGGGGTGTGTGTGGGTGTGTGAGAAATCAGAGAGAGGCAAAGACAAGAAGGTGAGATGCAAGCAGTAGGTGATACTGAGGCTAATCTGAAGTCTTTCTGTAAGTACGTTCTTAGTAAGAGAAAAATGAGAATGGTTTTGAGTCAGCCAACAGGCAAAGCTTGTTGACAGATGATGCCAGGGAAGCCCGTGTTTGTAACGGACTTCTGTGCAGTCTTCACAGCTGCTGTCAGATGCCCGTTATCATTCGTATCAGTAACAAAGGAGAAAACTGCAATGTACAGTAACCAAAAGGGTATTTAGAGTTAGCATTTTAAAATTATCTTGGAGACCTTAAGGGATAAGCTAAAGTAATCTCCATACCGGGGTTAAGGTTCTGTATTTTGCATTAATGATCTGTCTGGTGAAGGAGAAAGTTGAAACGATCTAATAAATCTGTAGATGGTTAAGGTGGGACAGGACCAAAGGTACAGTGGAGGATGGGATTAGAATACAGAGCGAGCTTGACTAGATGGAGATTTGCCTGAAAACAGCAGTCAGTTTAAAGAGGGGAAATGTAAATTATACTTACACCTAAATAAACTGCAAAAATACAGGATGAGGACCACCAGCTGGTAGCAGTTCTGTAGGAGCTGACATGAGTCAGCAAGTGCCATGCTGTTATAAGAAGGTAAATAATATGGCATAATCAGATAGATGTACAGCGTACAAGATGCACAATGATCTTCTTGCTCTACCAAGCATTAAAGGGTCTGGGTTCCACATGCAACGCTTCAGAAAAGGTGGACCTCTTGAAGAGTCCAGGAGAAAAATGGGAATGCCTGGGCAGAGATCTGTGATGCATGACTTAAGAGGAAAGGGCTTTGCTTAAATTCCTAAAGAAACTTAAGAAAGGAAGGAAGACTAGAAAGGTGAGAAGGAAAAAAAAATAGTAACAGTCTGCGAACGGATAACTGGCTTCTGTGGAAAGGAGAGGAACATCTGACTATTGGCTGCATGAAAATACGACTGATGGAAACTGCAGAGAGGAAGAGTCAGAAATGGCCATCAGGAACAGCTTACCAATGCTAAGAGTAACGAAGCATTGGCATTAACGTTTGCCTGGTGTTTAAGAAAGGGTTAGATAAACATCTGTTAGATGTAGCTGACCTTGCTTCAAGGCAGGTGAATGAATTAGACGATCTTCTGAGATCGCTTTCAGCTCTGTGATCTGCTTTGTTAGAATGTGTAGAGTTGCTATGTGAGGTTCTGTTCACATTTTCCCTAAACTTTACGCCATCTGAAAAATCTTGAATACCTGTTTCATGGCGAATTGTGCTTCAGTGTTTTCCAAAGACGTTGAGATCACAGCTTCGTATGTTCTAGGCATATCCGAAGCAGACAGATTGCCAACAGTAGAGTGAGCGTATGGACAATCACTTGAACGAGAAAGAGAAGTCACTTCCCTTACAGAAGCAGGCGTTCTTTGAGATGTGTTGTGCATATGCTCATTCCACAACCTGCTCTCCAACCCCTCTTCACTGCAGTCCTCTACTCCTCTACAGTAACTGGATTCTGCAGTTGAGAGGAAACTGAGGTAGGGAAGCCGCACACCAGTCTTCATACCGGGATGCAAAACATGAGGAGAGGCAGGGCGCATTGTCATCGTATGGGTACTGCTTCCCCAAAGCTTTGAGCATGAGACACAGTGGAATATGCATATGGACAGCACACCTTGAAGAAGTCCAGTTGCTGTAAGGTAAGTAGCTTCTCTTTCTACTTATTTTTAAGCAGGCAGAGGCAATTTGTGTGCTGTTTCAGAAAGATGATCAGGTGAACAAAAGCCAACTGTTAAGAGCAATATCTCTGTATGAAGCGCAAACCCTCCCTAACCTGAAATGTTATTTTTGAAGACTTGTTAACTTTACAAAATTCATACTAAAGTACATTATACTTCTCAGTTTCCATTCTTATGTCATTGGATTTGTTGTGCCAAATCAAAAGGAGCTCGCAGAACTAGCTCGAAAGAAAGGATTTAAAGGAACCTGGGAAGAGATCTGTAACAGTCCTGAGATGGAAAAGGAGGTACTGAAGGTGCTCGCTGAGGCTGCCATGGCAGGTGAGTAGCTGGTGAGATAGTCTTAACCTTGTGGACCGTAATGTCTGTGAAAGATAAGCGTAGGCCCTAAAAATATTTCCTTGAGCGTGTATATTTGATAGAACATATATGAAGTGAAATTTTCGTACAGAAAAACCCAACAACAAAACATGAGTTGGGTCAGTCCTTTTGGTTCATGTAACTTTTTTTTTTTTACCGTGCCCAATAGCTGAGGAAAGAATATAAAAAACAGGGCAAACTCAACAAGCTCAGTTCAGTTCCCTATATATATATATGTGTGTGTGTGTGTCTGGCGCTCTTTAAGATGTCCTGTAGTATCTTTTTGGCCTTAGCTGCTGGTCCAAGAGAAAGCGGGTCATCTGTAGACCCGTGATATGTGTTGGGTATCATACAGTCTCGCATGCTGCACACCTATACATAGTTGAAATACGCCCGTGGTGACAGGGGCTCTCCTAGCTTCCAGTGACTTGCATCTGAGGGATCTCCTAAACTGAAAGCAGTGTCTGTAGTTAACAATTTTCAGTAGACTTTTCTTCCATTAACTCTTCTAGTTGCATTTTAAAGTTACGTAAATATTCTGCATCGGTATCCATACTGTCTTGTGGCGGAGTTGCACAGCTCAGCCACGCTCATGTGAAGAAACACCTTGGTTTTTTTTTAACCCTGCCACCTGCGAGTTGAGTTTGGTTCTGCCGAGCTCCGGTATGGGAGGAGGCAGGGAACAGTCACAATGGCGGGCATGTTTTTTTTTCAGTGTCTGCTATACTTCCCCCTCAGCTGTATCTTTTTCATGCTAATTGGTCGTAGTCTATTCAGCTATTCTGGTGCAGAATTAAACAGTGGCACAGTGATATTTTGTTTGTTCTTTCATCGTAATTTCTGCCTTGTTTTTGCTTTTGACCATTACTAAGCACTGAGCTTTTTTCATAAAGCTGTCAGTTATGACCACAGAATGTTTTTTAAATGGTCATGGTGGATGTTAAATTTGTTTTTCATATGCATTCTCTTCTACGCTTTTCCGCAATGAATGTTTTTCTGCTGCCTGTTTTGCAATCGCTCAGTATCATCGTGTCCTGCGCCTCTTTGCAATTTGCCCTCATCTTTTCTGCCCTGGATAACTTTACGCTTCCAACAATCTTGTTAATCTTCATCTCTTCTCCATATTACTTGTGAATATATTAAACTCTACAGTTAGTATATTTGCAGACTGCTGTTACAGGAGCATACTCTTACGATGTGTGCAGTCTCAATACTGTAGCAGACTTTTTTTGTCCTTGCCCCATGTCTCCATTTTTCTTCACTGCGTGGAGCACATGGGCAAAGTCATTCTAAGAAGCTGCTGCGATGGAGAGCGTGTACGAAGTCGCTTTCCTTTTCTTTTTTTGTGCAGCACTAACTGTTTTAAAGAGAATTAAATATGTTGTTAAAATAGATGAAACGGAATATTTGATTTAACCCTGAGGCATTTTTACACATTTTGATGTTATTTTACGTTTGTTTCTGTTTTTCACTTTGGTATCATAGGCTTTACTTTAAAGTAATATTATGATTTTTAGTGCTAAATTGCAAAAAAAAAAAAAAAAACCAAACCCAGTGATGTAATGTCAAGGGGAGTAAGAGGTGCAGGAAAATCTAAAAATGGCAGGTTGCACAGCGTAATTATACATTTGTGGACAACTTTTTATTTAACCTGAAAATAGATTACTTTTTTTAATATTGCCCATCTATTGATTACTTTTCTTAGTTATTTGTTTTTCTTCTCTTATGTCTGAAACCGTAGCAGAGGCTCTCGCTAATGATACAGTGTTTTGTGCTGAAGGTATAACATGCAGAGCGCTGTTCTGTTTCCGTAAGGGGAACAGCTACCATATGAACTTACTTTCCTTGAACAATTTAGGACTATCAGGAAAAAAAACCACACACACACCCCCCCCTCTGTTTTTTCAGGCTTAAGAAGTGTGGATTTTAAGATTTTTATCTCCGGAAGATGAGTATCCTAACAGTGATACGACACTGTATGTTTTGAGGATGTCACTTCCATGCACTGAGGCTTTTCTGAAGTTAGGGAGCAGGACAGATACCCGAACAGCTGGGGTTTGTTTCAGTATTTCTGTGGAAACTGGAGAACAGTTACTGGTGGATCCTGTCACTCTACTTGTGACCACATGGGTTTTCAAAGCTAACCATGGGGCGTTTGAGGAGCACTTCTTCAGCTAGGTCACGTGCTTTTCTGTGTGTGAATGCAGTTCCTTAATTGTAAAAAACCGGTTACATTTACGTTTTGTATTAAAAATGTTTATTTTTACAGCTAATCTGGAGAAGTTTGAAATACCAGTAAAAATCCGTTTGAGCCCTGATCCTTGGACCCCTGAGACTGGTCTAGTGACAGACGCATTCAAACTAAAACGCAAAGAGCTTACGGCATACTATCAAATGGACATTGATCGAATGTATGGAAAAAATGTAAAATAATTCTTTTTTTCTGCACCACTTTGCTACAATGAGCTTGGATCAAATAGGAAATACTTGAATTGCCTGTCTCAACACTTGAGATCAACACACAAAATCACCATTCCTCATTTGCAGCTTAAACTGTTATTTCTGATGACATCACCATGATGACTGGCAAGTTTAGTAAAATGTTACGGCAGCAAACTTGTGTCTGTCTCCTTTTTTCCAGTTTTCTCTGCTACCTTGTCAGTCTGTGGATTTTCCCGAGTCTTTTTGGGAAACCATGATTCTGAAGCCTCGAGTTTTTAAACATTTATAAATCCTGTATAATGTTTTATTTGTATCTTTAAAATTTTGATGTATATAGAGAGAACTTGGCTATATAAGAAATGGTTATACTGGGGGCCTTTTTTTACCTAATTATTTAAAGATAAGGTATTGATGTTGTGACACTATGTACATTGAAAATGCTTGTAACGAGATCATTGTTGAACAGAGGACCAGGTTATTTGCTGCTGTGCTATTTTTCTGTGTAAATCTGAGGGAGAAAATGTTTGACGTTCCAGCTTGTGTAATACTCCTTCAATACGTGCCTAATGGTTACTTTTATTTTTATCTGAAAATGAAGAGGTGGTCATGGCACAGCTCTGCATAAAGGCAGGTACTCTTGCAGGTGTTAGTTAAAGCTTGTTTAATACAAAAGATGCTGTTACCACAGCAGACGCTAAACCTAAGAATAATCTCTCAAATACAGAAACTCCTGTTTTTAAATAGCTCACGACCGTTTCATCCAGCAGTTGAATTGCGTAGAGCTAAGAAGAACTCTCGGTGTCATGACGGTTGACGGTGTCATTTTAGCAGAGGGACTTGTACCGACTGTTGTCTTTTCTCATTAGGTTTGGCCACTACACTGGGTTTGCTCTTCCCTTGTTTGTGAAAGTCTGGCAAGACCCCTGTTCTGCCCTAGCTGCAACCCAAATCTTACTGGGGGGATTTTTAAAGTCATAATGACAGTTACGTTCTCAGCTCACACAGTGCCTAGCTGCCCTTTGTGCCATTAAAAATCTCCCTTTAATTCTGTGTTCTTTTGTTTAGCCTTTTTTGCTTTAAAAACAGATATTTGAAGTCTTTGTCAGCCAGAGTTATTTATCTCGCTTGGTTTGTTACACCCAATTCTTACTTTGGGCAGGAGTCTCAATTTCTGTTTTACTGTAGATGTGTGAATATTGTTTAAAGAACTATGGGGGATCTTTTCTTCTTCAGTGAGAGTGTTTAGACTTGTTTCAGATGTGAATTTTGTTTTCAAAGTATTTCTAGAAAGAACATTTTAATCGGGCTTACATGAGAATGTGAAAAGGCATGCATCAGTCAACTTTGTGATGAAGCAAATATTAAAATGGCTTTAATTTGGAGATTATTCTCTCATGTGTATCATTTACTCGTAGTACTAAAAATTAAGGTCTTGATGCTCACTTAGTACCCTACTATGGTAGCATATAGCAATTCTGAATGGCGGAAGCTTTGTTTGGAGGAAGGAGTTCTGCTGTTAGCATTTGTCACATGGGAGTTTTGGGAGATGCTTGATATCCAAATTCTCATTTAAAAAAATTCTGAAATCTTCTTTAAATTAACACTTCCCATTGATTATAGAAAGCAGCTTCACAGGAGTCGAAAGTTGTCAAGTGGGGTCCCTGTACTTTCGTTTTGACGAGACCACGAGGCGGTTTGTGCTCTATTTTATGTTACCTTACCATCTCTCCCACTACTCATGGATTTCCCCTGCTGCTGTCTATGAAAACCTGTTACCATTTGGTGAATCCTGGTGTAACTAGTCAAACGGAAACATAAGCACCAAAAAGAAATCAGAACTGCGTTTATGAGATTAATGCCTTCAGGTATCTAAATCGTAAATTAAAACCTTCTGGCAAACAGAGGTAAGACCGATGTTGGAAAATGACTGAAGAATCCAAATGTGGGAATTGCCAAGTCCATAGGGAAGTGTCGCACCATAGATTAGACATTACTAATGCTTAAATAAAATATGTAGCTGTGCTCCATCAGCAGGTTCTTAAATAGTTTGCGCTCAGCACAGGGTGTACACTGTTCAAATATTTTTTGTGATTTTTAGTGAAAATTAATAAATTGCTGAAGTACTATGTATATCACTTGGTGCATTGTGCAGCAGATTTAAGAAAATAAATCTGCTTTTGGTTAATTCAGAAGAAATCTGAAGATAGTATTCTGCGAAGGGTTTAAATCCTTTGGATGAATTGCATAAATGAAACTCTTAAAATGGTTTGGAAATAGTAGTTTTAATTTTTCTTCTAATCCAGTCAGAAGATTGGGTTGCAGTCTGACTGTGCGTTTGATTTTACAGTTCAGGGTTTTTTTATATTTAAAATGGATGTCGATATATATGGTTCCTCCTTCTTTAGACGTCAGATTCATTGTGGACGTTTATTTCTTCTACAGAATGTGAAAATAAAGCAGTTTGTTCATTGTAGCCTCAGCGTTGGAAATAGAAAGACTTCTAAAATATTTGTATGGGCTTAAAATACTTGATGAGTATGTTTTTTCTTTTGATTAATAACAAAAGACGGACTTCAGTACGGCTAGATTCTGAGCGCTTCCGTGTCCCCTTGGGGCCGCCTGTCCCGTGGGTGCCCGCGCTGCTCACGAATCGCCCAGGGCTGTAAGGGGACGGGGAGTCACGGTTGCCCTTCAGATGTCGGGCTTCCTTGCTCCGGCAGCCTTGGTCATAGAATCATAGAATCATTAAGGTTGGAAGAGACCTCCAAGATCATCGAGTCCAACCGTCAACCCAACACCACCATGCCCACTAAACCATGTCCCTCAGCGCCTCATCTACCCGTCTTTTAAATACTTCCAGGGATGGTGACTCAACCACTTCCCTGGGCAGCCTGTTCCAATGTTTAACTACTCTTTCAGTAAAGAAATTTTTCCTTACATCCAATCTAAACCTCCCCTGGCGCAACTGAGTCCTGCAGGCTGCTGCGCCTGTCAGATACTTCTGCCTGCCGCCGCGTTCTCACCCTGTGCTCTTGCATTGCTGAGCAGAAAGGCAGCTTTAGGGGGAGTTCGTTGAAACCCTGCGTAGATGCGCTACGTGCCAGCCAGGAATTTGCCTGGCCTCTCTCTCCTTTTTTTCTTTTTTCTTTAGTTTTGTTCGGTGTCTGCCCGTGCCCAGTGTAACAAGAACAACAAGAGCACCTGCTGGAACGTATCGCGCGTGTCCCGGGGGGCTGCGGACGGCTGTAGAGTAAATTAGGAAGAGTGCGTGGTTGGAGGTGATGGCCTCTGTCACGTGGGGCGTTTTGTAATGGAAAGGGCCGTAGCTCTTAAACAGTCTGTCTGAGTTCAAACGAAGAACGAGGGGCATATACCTCACCCGAGGGGCCCCCCAAAGGGGGGGATTTTTAACGAAGCTTTTGTAAATACAAACTTCCCAGGACTCTGAGTCGTTGGAAATTGTAACCACTTACTCTGTTGTGAAAATTTTCATATTTCATTATAAAAAATGACTGACCAAGACATTCCAAGGATGCTGTGAATCTCCTTTAAATCCCTACAATTACTTAAAAATATTGCAGCGCTTCAGGCTAAACTCAATCTAGATCTCATCAGTGTTCTTTGCAGCGAGCGGTGTTTCTGGAGCAGGTTAGGAAACTAAAAAAATCACCTGTCAGAAAAGACCTTGCAAGCTTACCGATGCTGCTGCGACCGCGGTTCGCACACAAGCGGGACCGTACCTCAATGGGAAGCTGTATCTCGGCAGTAAAACATTTTGCTGAAATAAAAGAGAAAACCAATGTGCAACTGAAAGGAAGAACGTAATGCACACCTACGTCCTACTGGTTTTATAGCTAGGATGCAGAGAAGGGTATGGAATTGAAACCGTACATCAAAACCGCCCTGTAAAGCTTCGAAGTTTAGGTGGAAATTGCTATAGGACGTAAGACTCCTTTGCAATAACCTGTATCCTGCTAAAATTCACAAGCTTTTATTCTGTACTAAAACTACATTTAGGCGATGCAGTGCAGCATTTTTAATTTTTATTAATGTGATGTATTAACTACTTTAGACTCGGTATAAAGTTGTGTACATCTGTTTCTTTACTGGTAAGAGGAACAATCTTCAACTTTGCGTACGCCTTGGGCCAGGCTGAAACGTTAATTAATGACCAGTTGTATATTATTGTAATTGGTTATTTAATGTAAACTCATTTTCAATGTGATCTTGGTTGTTACTATGAACTGCCTGAACATTGTATATCCTAATTGAGTTAAATAGTATGAATTATTTATTTGTAATTGGATATCATGTTTCAAAAATAAAATTAATTTCACAAACGAGGCCCCGTACGTCCGGTTTTTTAAGTGGCATTTCATTTTTCTCTGTCTGAGCCTGGATAACTTAACGGTTGTAAATTGGTGAGCTTAAATCACGTTAGTTGAGCACGTGGCTGTTTAAGAAGGGCAGTGGGGTCGGGGAGTTGAAAACGTTGCACCGCCAGGGAAACCTGTTTGATGGCGGGCACGTCCCTTTGGTTTGCTCCCTGCCTCGCGTTGCTGGTGACCTTTTGCGAAAGGCTCCGTCCCTGCATTGCTCGTGTCTGGTGTCCTGGCAGTTTTCTGCGTCAGTAGCCACGTGCTCGTGCTTCGCAGGTAGCCAACATCCCGGTTGACTACTCGGCCACTCGTGCTATACAGGTGTTGCTGATGTATTTTTCCGTAGGTTAATACTGTTGGTGGTGAGTTCACGTACCTGGACTGGGTAATAGTCACCCTTATGTGCAGACTTGCCAATTCAGGAGTAGAAACTGATACCTGATAGAGTGGGAATTTAGCCAACGCGTCTCTTTTGGAACTATAATTCCAAGTCTTGTCAGATATTCAAAATAAATGTGACGGTTTCAAGATGCGTGCAGGAACACTAGTTAGCAGGTTAGCCTGGTTTTCCACTGGAGGAAAGTTACCATCCTGCTTTGTCTATTTTATTGGCATGTGATCTGCCATTTGCCCTTTTCTAAGAGCACCGGCTATGGTAACGCCTTCTGTAAAGCCGTAAGCTGCTGACATTATTATTATTATTATTAGTTTTTTTTTTTTACGCTATCCAGGTGTACTAGGACTTACTTGGTGTTTTAATTTTCCTTAAGTTTGTGGGCTGAAGGGTCAGATGCGAAAGAGGAGCTGCTTGCGGTCGGACCGCTGGAGAGACCTGGAGCGCTTAAGGTTTGATTGCAAGCTCAGAAAAGCGTTGCTGGTAACCGTCCAACCTGGGGGCTCCTCAGCTTAGCAGATGCCTCTTTCCTCTTTGTTTTGGGTCTCTACTTACAGGTTCCCCAGATGC